ATGTACCACAAATATTTATTAGAATGACTTTCAGTGAATTGATGTATTTAATTAGTAATGTACAAAGTCGTATTAATGCTCAACAAATAATACAAAATATGATATACTAATCTAGCGGTTATAAGTATATTTCAAAATTATCTAGATTTTTAACTGTTAGACAAGATAAAGTGTTTGTAATAAAAAAAGCATTAACAGAATTGTATAAATTTTCTCTAATAATTTAATATTTTTATGTTTTATAAGGAACTTTATATAAACGAAATACAATTTTAGAGTTTTTATATTTTTCGGAATTTGATAGTGAAAATAAAATATACTATTGTCATTTCATAGATATTTTAGAAACTAATCTATATTTTCTTCAAATCATAGAAAATTATTTTATATATATATATATATATATATATATATATAATTAAACATTTATAACTTTTATGCATGATTTTATTATGTTTTCTAAAATTGTATGCTAAATATTTATACTAATAAAAATTTCTAAAATAACAAATATATAGAAATAATTCCATGGATATCAATTAGAATTAAAATTTCATTCGAGACGATTTAAAATATTATGAATGGATTTTATCTATTTTATATTTAGAATATATTTATCGGTTTTAAATACTTCTTTGTTAAGTTTACTAATTATAGAACACTCTGATACGGTTTTGAAAAGATATGTTTTATTTTAATTATATTTTAATTATGTTATTATCAGTACACTTGAAAATAATTATAAATTTAATTATTAAGTGTGATTTTTTGATAAAGTTTGCTAATTCTTAATTGAATTCATTTTAATCTTTCTAGCTATATTGGTATTTGTATTTTTTTTTTTGTTTTTTTTTTGAGTTTATTTATAATTTGTATTTAGATAGTTTTATACCATAAGTCTTAAAATAATATTATTCTAAAATTTTAATATATTTTTAATGAGAATTTATAAGCATTATTGTTGTATTCTATTCCATTTTCATGTATTTAAATTGAAATTGTCGATTTAACCTTATTATCTTAATATATATTATGTAAATTTTTGCTAAAATGTTAGAAATTATAGTAAAAATTTATTATTAAAACATTTATTATTGGATTATTATAATTATATGTATTTACTATAATTATGTATGCATTCTGAATTCTGTTTATGAAGTAAATTTTCAATTTTTAATAATATTTCTATTTAATATTATAAAGTATTATCGCGATTATAATATATCAATAATCAATCGATTTTAATTGATTCTTATTTGGATTTGATTACTTGAAAGATTTATTTAAAATAGCAAAGTAAATTGTGAATTTAATCTATCGATTTAATATTAATCCTTAAACCTTTAAGTTTTATTTTAAAATATCTTGTTTAGCATTTGAGGTATTTTCATATGTAATACTCAGAATTTAACAATTTCTTTAAATGTCTATACATGGAGTTTCTGTAACAGATACACATAAATTTTTTTTTAACAAGAACGTGGTATTATTTACAAACAAATCATCTACTTATTTTAATTTGCTTTAGTATATTTACAGTTCATATTTCTTCAAATTTTCATAATCTTCAACAGAAATAAATATCTTTATCTTTTTTAGTACATTGTTTTATCAATATTAATTATTTGTCTGTTATTTTGTTTCATTACTATTTTAATATATTATATATTTATTATTAACTTGTGTAACATATATTATTAATAAGTATCATATACATTGTCACATATAGCGTGTTATAATAACATACTTAATAATTTATTTCAATTATTTGACACTATTCATTGAAATTTAAGAGACATATAATTTAATAAACTGACGTTCGCTTCTTCATGAAAAAAAACGTCTTTATTCATTATTATTAAGATTTATTAACCTTTATAAAAGCATATATTTAATTTAATATTTGTTGAAATAGAAAAGCATATATTGAACGTAATATATCTTATAAAATAGAATTTTGAGCTTAAAGGTTTACATTACTTGTATTATATATATTTTGATAATTTTAATGATTAAAGGTATTTGAAATTTTTGCCAATAAGATTAGAAAATTCATAAAACTGTCCTTTAATGCTATTGCTTTTTATTACTAATCTTAAAATTTAATTATAATAAAATTATTGCAAACTCATGGTATTATATGATATATAAGTTTTAATTTATTTCTTATAATATTGCAATATTATATATCTATTATGTATTGATTTTATTTTTTCAATTTAAAATTTTTAAATTTAAAAGAAGTACTTCCGACGTCATAATGAAAATTCGTCATTAATATATACTTATTTTCAATAATATAATGCAATGATAAAATTATAATAATGAAATTATCAAATTATTTATTTGACATTTCGAAATGTTAAGTATTTAAATATTTATACATTAAGTTTTAAAAGTGAAATAATTCCTGAGCTAAAAGCATGTATTAATTGAGAGAAAAGTCATTATCGATGAATTCACAATTTCATATGTGTCATTGTGTTGATGCATATGTTACAAAATAAAATCCGTTTTATTAACGATGGTAAAAAAAAATTTATTAATATTATGTATAATATGTTATATATTAAAAATTATGAAATAAATTTCTAATCATTACCGTTCAATGTTTTTCCTTATTTATAATATAAGTAATGTACTTGTGATATAAATAATGACGGAAACTAAATGAAGTATGAGAAAAATGAAAAATTACCTTTAAAGTTATTTATTTAATATAATAAGAAAAGAATAATAATATAATGATTAGAATAAAATCTTCTTCATATTATAAAAATTATATAGAAAGAAACGTTGAATCATATTTCCAAAAACAAAGTATGAAAAAAGTTATTATTCATGTATATAAAATTTAGTTTTAATATATTCAATTTACTTACCGTATCTTGGATTAGAATAAACTAATAAATTATAAAATACTAATAAATAAAATTATAAAATACTAATAAATTATTAAAATAAATTTTTAAAAGCATTCATGCATTTAACATAAACTACCCATATTCAAAACTACTTTTTTTTTTTTTAATATTTACTGTATTATTAAAATAAAAACCACTTACCCTCAATCCTCTCGTTAACACTTAGCGATCCTTAGGATACAATTAGAAATATCAGAAAACGGCAAATCTAGTACCGGAGATTATGATAATTATGATAATTAGTAGGCAAGCGTAACGTTAATTTCACATCAAGAGTTTTACGGAAATAAAGTAATGAAAGTAATTATCTAGCAGAGTGAACATTATTTATGAACATTCTAATGTTGAATTTTACTTAAAAGGCGGAAAGTAATGTTACGATCAATAAACACAGATGAATAATTGATTTTTCAATCAACAGGAACTCTAAAAATGTAATCTTTTGCGGTCAAATAAAACTTATATTTATAGTATATTTTTTAACAATGTTAAAGGCTTAAAATATTCATTCCTTGCATAGTTCTAAAAAAAATAATAAAATTATAAAATTATTATGCCAAATAAAATATCTTAAACTACTATTCCAAAAAAGTATGTATATTTATAAATATTAATTATTTAAAGTTGAAAATAAATTTTGTTAGAATAGTGTATAGTAAAAATATGGTTAATTAGTATATTTATAGATTATATATTTTTTAGTTCATATTAAAATAAACTAATTATTTTTCTTCTTTTATTCTGAAAAATGTTATTCTTATTCATCTGCAGGACATAAATTATTATATATTTAATACTCTTAAATAATGTTTCCAATTAATTCGCAATCTACTCTTCATATAAAAACTAATATTTATTGTTTACTTCTATACAAATAAAATATAACAAAATAAGTATATACAATGTCAAAAAATAAATACACAAAGTAAAGGTTATAACATGTGTATAAGATATTTTCAATATCTTCAATATTCTTTCCGTATCTTCCATCACAAAAACTACTAATAATCCATTATACGATAATAATTAAATATGAATGATCATTTTTTTTCGAATTCTACATTATATTTATAAATTACAATTAATATATGTTTTCACAAATTAATAATGTAATTGAAGAACTACGTTATGAAATTTCTTCAACGTAACACATAAAATTTATTTCTTTTATATGAATTATATGTTATTTTAGTAATTATGCTCGAAACACTATAACGATTTGCTATATATCAGATTTGAATGCCAACATTATATTATGTAATAATTATACATAATTTCAAAACTATTAATATTAAAGTTTTCAAAATTATAATAATTTTTTATTTCATTCCATTTCTATAGAGATCCCATTAGGCAACATGTATAAAAAATATTACATGAACATAATTATGCTCATTTATACTGCATTATACTGATTAAAACATTATATTAAAAAATAATATTTATTACAAGATTTCTCTATTCAGATTATTTTTAATATAAACATCAAAATTTCCGATAGCAATAATAATGGAGAAATTTGTTGTTTAATTTTTTGGGTTTAAAATTTTCATATACAAATTTTTTGTTTCGAAACATTGGAATTCTTAATTTTAAAAACATTTTAATTTTTTTCATGCGCTAGAACTATGCATTTCTTTTAAAATAATTATAAAAAAGTTAGTTATATTATAGACATTTTGTAAACAAAAAATATAAACTATAATTAAATATTCAATATTATATATGAATATGTGTATCTGAGTTTATTAGCGAATTAGTGTAAATTTTTTTCTTCAAATGTTTTATTATTAAAGGGTTTAAAAAAAATTTTCTTTTCATAATTTAACTTTATTTTATAAGAATAAACACACGTACACGCGCACGCAATTTTTATAATGTTATGATATTCGCAAAAGATATTTGCGTAATTTGTATCATTTCTTAATGTGAGGATTATCGTAATGTGAGTATGGAGCGGCACTAATGAATTGATAAAACCAATTCGTCATAGAATATCAACGAAAGAATCTTTCATCTAAAGAATCTTAAAAATAATGACAATTCTTTAGATATCTAATTTATTTCAGGTTACTTAAATAAGCAAGATTATTGCAGAAAATTAATATAAACGTAGTTCTTATCGAAATTGTAGAAATGTCTTTTCAGTCGTGAAAAATATGACGAGGCGGGAATTTATCGCACTGGATGGTGGCTGGGGCTGGTTGATAGTATGCGGCGCTGGATTGAGTTCTGTAAGAATTTTTTTATATTAGCATATATTAAATTGTTTCTCAAAAGCAATTTGCACATTACGCACTGCATATTACAAATTATAATTTGAGTTTAGTAAAATAATATTAGTGCGCGCTGAAATGGAAGTGTCTTAAATTTATGTGTTATTAACATATTGCAAACCATACATTACCATCAAACTATATGTTGATTTAAAAACTAATATTAAAGAATTATTGTACCGAGTTTTGTACAGAGTAGAATGAATTTTGTAAATAGTATTTTATATGTACCTAGAAAATACTTAACTGAAATATAAAAGTAAGCTTATTTTTTAGTACACAATTTAATGATATTTTAAAATTTATTAAATATCATTGTTTGTAGATTGATAGATTGATTAATATTTATATTATAATGTACTAATAATATAATTAATAGTAAGATCGATTATAATCGATTCATTGTTATTGATTGATACGTAAATAATATAATGATATTGGCCACAATTGATTATTTGCATATAATTAATAATAGAAGAGATTCTTGGTTTCAATGATGTTGTAAGTTTTTTTCTAATATAAGAAACATTAGGTATTACATTAGGAACAGAAAATTAGTATTTAAAATGATGTTTAAAGTGCGATTGTCATGCTTTGAGGTTGCATTAAAATTCTATCAAATAGATTTTTCAAAACAGAATTATTTTGCTTTGTGGTCAGTTTTGGCTAATCTCAATATAAATACCCAGTGTATAGTGAATCTTCGATGATGGATTTGCCAAATAAATATTCATTTTTACAAAATGGAGTTTGCAATATGTATTTGAAATCATTTATTATCATGAGAATAAAGCACTTACAGCATTCATTATTAATCCTTGCAATTTTTAATATTTGACGCAAAAAAAAAAAAAAAAAAAAAAACAAAAAAAAAAGAAAAAAAAGAAAAATATCACATAGCCAAATGCAAATTATACCGATCGAATTCAATCCAAAGCTTGTTAAAATAAGGATAAACATACTTTCTAAGGGTGTGCATAAAAAATTCACAGTTATGAATTTGAAAATGTCGCAGATGTTCATAGTACCGGTGTCGCAAGTCTTCAGTATGATATACGGAAATAAGTTCGAGGAACTAGGAATATCGGCAACGGAGATGTCCATCATCATGAACGTCAATCAGGCATTCGGGATGATACTGGCTTTAGCGAATGTACCATTGTTACGTAACTATGGTTATCGAAAGATCGCCGTAATCGGGCAGCTTCTCTATTCGTCCGGCATAATCTTGACCTCCTTTGCTACGTGCTTCATCCACTTTATTATTACGTATGGAATGATTACTTGTACGTATGCATTGTTATTACAAGCTTTAAAGCTGAATTATTTTACAATCAAGAAGTTTATTAATTTATTTTTAAACAATTTATAATTATTAATAATATTTTCTATCGCTCGTTATTGTGAAAATAAGCATGCATAATTGTATCAAACGCGTAAAAATCTTAGTTACACGTGAAAATGAACAAATTTCTTTTCAATTCAATTATTTCGACAAATCGACGACAAATGAATGTTAAACATTTTTCATTAATTTTTTTTTCTTTTTTTTTTTTTTATTCTTACGCAATCGCTGCATTAATCTAATATTTTTTATTTCAATCTGTTTGACAATTCTGATTGGCAATTTATGATTATTTCCTCTATATACCTGTGATTGCAGCCTTAGGATCAACAATGAGTTTCTCTGCCAATATGTTGGCTGTAAATACGTACTTCAATGAGAAAAGAGGCCAAGCTGTTGGTGTATACATGCTTGTTGCCGGATTGGGTCAAATTTTCGTGCCGCATGTAATTTCGTTAATATTATCAATTTATAATAGCGAGGTATAAGTTAAGTGACTGTTATATATGCCTGTAAATTTTAAATAGAATTCTAATGAAACTAATTTTTATTTATAAGCATTAATGAGCAAGATTAATTAAATCGGTATATTATTCGTTAATTAATTGTGTCATGAGAATTTTAGTTTTCTATCATTTGAATTGTATTTAAATATTTCAATTGAAAGTAATATGAAAGAAAAAGTTAATGCTTTAAGTATTATTAATTTAATAAGCAATTATTTGCCTTTATATCTTAAAATGAATTGTACTGATAGCAAACACTATTAGGATAAGAATCTAGTGTATCGATACGTATTTTTTCGAATATTTTTATTGCTAATATTATGTTAGAAATCAAGATAGAAATATGAAAAATATTTTTACTTGGCTTACATTAAATTATTCACTATCTTCGATAAAATCTTAAATTTAAAAGTAATAACTTCTTTATTCGTACATATTGTAATATATAAGGTGTGGATATTTTATTAATTAACATCCGACATTTATTAAATTATAATAGGGAACGATGTTAATATTGGGCGGTATGACTTTGAATCATATTATTGGCGCACTTTTGCTACATCCGATAGAATGGCACGCAAAGCGAGTAAACAATGCTGAAAACAAGTCAGAAAGTATTAAAACAGTTTATTACTAATTATCAAATATTCATTATAAATTGATTGCTTAAAATTATATGAATTTAATATGCATTGAAAGAGAAGAGTAACAAATGTTGTTATAATAATTTAATAATTTAACGAATCATTTGGTTTAATGCTTTATTTAATGGTACTGCTTCGCATTATGGATATATGACTTTTAAGTAATACAACTAATAAATTAATAAATGACTATACCATTCAAGAAATGATTACCACTGACGCTGAAATGAAGCGAAAGGAACGCTTTAGAAGGAATAATCAATTATCGATAATTTCTTATGGTAAACGCAATGAGGATAATATCATTACTTATGAGTATGAAACGTCCGCGGTTCTCAAAAATAGCTATGCCTGCAATAAACAAGGTAATGCAAACTTTCAATTATTTAATATAACTTGCAAACTCGTATAAGTAGGTTTTATTATTATCGTGAATTTATTTTGAGAACAATAGACTGGCTTCCGAAAAACGATTGTTTAAAAATGAAGAACAATAAAAATGTGCCAATTAAATTACCATCGCGTAATGCTGATTATATTTTCAAAGAAACTGACAGCTTAAATGGACTAAAATTACAAAATATTAACTTTATATCAACGAAACTCCATAATTCTACCATCGTAAATAAAAGTTGTAATGAAGTTATACAAAATCAGCAATTTAAGCAGATTGGTGACGATGCTAACATAAACCATCAAATGTAGGTATAGAAACTTAAATTATATAATAATTAAAAGAAAAAATTAATATAAATAATTATAGTTTTCCTACTCATTTCCTTAATGAATGATGAAATATAATTAATTCAATAGATATGTATAATAGTTTATTTAATTGGCATGTTAATGAAAATATTATAATCCAGTATCATTAATTATTTAGGATATTAAGTTTTTTCATATATTTTTCTTTCAAAGTGACAAAATTTCGATACCATTCGGTAATTTTTTCTTTTTTCTTTAATTAACATTATAGGATTATTTACCATTATAGATAAGTTAACATTAGCATCAATTTAAATATTTATTATATGAATTGTATTATTTCGAAAAAAAAGGCAAACAAAAAATTAAAAAAATTACTAACTTTTATAAACTTTCGAATGTCTGTAAAGTCCCGCTATTAATGTAAAATTTTTATGAGATAATCTTCATTGAAAATTGACACACATATTTTATTTGTTTAATCTTTGATTTCCATTTGAATTTTCAATGACTATCGCTCTCGTATTACAACGAAGTATATTAACTCATTCGAGGGCCTATATAATAAATTCTTGAGTTTTAAGTCTTATCTGTGTATTCATTTTTTTTATTTATTTTTATTTATTTATTTTTTTTTTTTTTTTTGCTTCACCAACGACCAAAAGAACTTTAAAAGTAAAATAATGAAAAATAAATCCGCATTCTTATTAAAAGACTAATTAATTTCTATATTTGAACTCCGTTTAAAATGTTCCTCCAATTTAACTATTTAATATAATTATTATTTTATTACAATATTTAGAATAGTTTATAAATAAAATGTTAGATTGTATTTGGTATAACATTGCAGTCGGTCATATATAGTCGGACGAGACAAGATTTTACGCGAACCATTGATCGTTTCGAAATAATCTAAAATACTTGCAGCTCGAATCTATGGTCATTTATATTGTTATTAATTTTCTCAAATACATAATATCAAACAAATTAATTAAAATAGATCTTAGAGTCAGATTAGAATCGATGAATTAATTAAAAAATGAATAAAAGTACAATTAACATTAGATAATTATTCAAATAGGCAATAAATTAAGAAACAAATAAATCGAGTGAACAATCAATAATTGTATACCTAAGCTTATCTATTACATATAATTTTTACATATAATTACATAAAAATAATACATATAAATATTACAATAAGATAATAATAATTCATCTAGGCGTAAGCTATCGATCCTAGGATTGCGAAGCGAGGATGTAAAAAAATCGAGTGCCCCTCGAGCCAAAAATAAATTCCTACTGATGGGCATGATCCAACAAGTGGCAATGATACTCGATCTGGAATTGCTTCGCGACACCGTCTACATGACAACATTCACCTGCTTATCGTTCGTCTTATTCGTCGAGCTGAACTTCAATGTCCTAATGCCTCTGATCCTGGACGAGCTGAGATTCGACATGAACAGCATCGCGACGATGCTGAGCGTGTTGGGAATCGCTGACCTGGTGTTCCGGGGTCTGGCGCCGTATATCGGCGAGTGGCTCCGACAGCCCCCCATGGCCATGCTCTTCTTCAGTCTCGTGATAAACCTGATCTCGAGAATGGGTAATTACACGTGCCCGTGCACTTTCTAGACGAGGCGCAGGTTTTATCAATCGGACGGACGGTCTTGTAGGTGAAGCCAGTGGGCGTGGGATGAAAGATACTTAATTGCGAGTTAGAGCGCGCGAGACGGATAATGCCTTTAACCTCTCGACGTAGGTAAAGTGAATTTAAGGTTATGTCTTGTAATGTGCACTTTGATTCGAGCCGACTGGTTTAACCTGTTTTTAGAATGCCCAAGTCACAAAGGGGATTTTAGCGGCGCTTGCGTCTATTTGTTCCTTTGGGAATACACTTTACGTGCGTTCTAGTTCGCCGTTTTTTCAATGTTGAAAATGTTCATGAAGCACAGGTTGATTTACTGCAATGCAATGCCCCCGCTAATAATTACATTAGAGGTGAAACGTAAATAATAATTATCGTATAATTAGCGTTAATCGTAGCTACTTATGATAAATATTTATATTTATCATACATTATCATAGCTTCATTTATGTTTTTCCTTTTGTTTAAATTATTTTCATATTTCTTTTAAAAACTACGTGATTCGAACACATAGGATTTATTAAATTCAAATGTTTCAATTTAATGGTCACAAAAGTTACGAAATACAAAATTTCAATATATATTCTTTATTATTAGTCTATCGGATAATGGAACATTAAATAGAAATATTTATTAAGAGTTTAGAATAAATATTATCATATTATATTCCATTATGTATTGCATACATTTATATAAGTTTCTTGTATGCATAAGTAAGTCTGTATGTATTAATGACTTTTCTTCTTTTACAGCATTAATATTCACACAGACGTACGTTGCCACATTAATTGTGTCGATTTCTTTAGGTGTTGCTAAAGGTTTCAGAATTGTATATATGAATATTTTGATATCAACTTCCGCTCCTCTCGAGAAATTTGCAGCAGCCTCGAGTATTCAGAACTTAGGGAATGGATGCATTATGCTAATTGCAAGTCCAGTCTTAGGTAAATAATCAAATATTTTTATATTAAGAAAATGCGAATCCTTTCGAGAACGTTAAGGTATACATAAGGAAAAGGAACTGGCAAAGCCCGTAGAAATGAACATTGATGAGAAATTTAAAAAGAAAAGATTAACGTACTTTCTTGATTTCATATAGTTCTAATACTTAAAGTGTTCGTATATTTAGTTAATTCTAAAAATTTTTAATTAATTTTCAATTTGAAGATTCATTTTATTTATTATTTTTTCCTTCTTCTCTCAGGTTTAATAAAGGATATTGCTGGAAGTTATATATTATGCATAATATTTTTAAATATTATAACTTTACTAATCTTGATAATGCTGTTGGGATTATTTGCAACTAAATATATTAAGAATCGAAAAAAGCTGAATACATTTTATGAATTGGAGCACGTGTGTAAAAAATGTGATTTCAATTGTCAATGATGCCGTAATTAAAATTTGAATACATTATTTATAAAACTTGGAATTGTTTTATTTATAATTATAAGAATTACAACGTACGCTATGACAATTTATGTTACTCTTATTAAATATCCTGACGATTTTTATAATTTTCTATAATGATTGTATAGCTGATTTATACCGTATATCGTGTAATTAATTGCAAACAATTTTTTTATATATAATACACACACACACACACACACACACACACACACACACACACACACACATATATATTATATATTTTTTACAAAAATTAACCGTATTATATTTACCGTATTTCACATTATGGAATAGTACATAAATATTAAAGCAATAAATAGCTATAATTGTTGTCTTTGGGATTTAGCAATTATCATTTATAAATGAGAAATAAACAGAAGGATGAAGAAATAAATTAAAGAGAAATTAATAAATGTATATACGCTCGCGTGTACGGAATCTCGAACTTCTTCCGTATAATCCTCGAAAATCCGATCTCACATTGCTCTCACTTGTTTCTCCTGTATTACCTTCTGGCCCAGTCATTAGGGTCGCGAGCGCGTCCTTGTTCGATATCTCCACTCGCGCTCCGAATCGTCGAATCTCGAGGATCTAATTATCCAAGCTCATTAAAAGTTTCACGCGGAAAATAAAAAAATACAAGAAAAAACTGCGCTCTTGTAACATCGATTATACGTACGTAGGACAATGAGCTGTACAGATCCTTTTCTCACGTAACCTTTTCGTCCTCGTCTCTTCCCACGCTTATTGGCGGAACGCGATACGCGAGTGCAAACTCTCGTGCGAGGGAATTTTAATTCTTTCACCGGTCTGCTGAAGAGGCATTAGTGTGAGGGAAAGACAGTGAGCGGGAGTGAGCGAGTAAGTGTGGTGTGAGGGATTGGAAGAGATGAGAAAAAAGATAAAGACTTTTGTATATGACGACTGCGTGGTTGAGCTGCAGTTGCGTGCCCGATTTCAAGGAGCGTTTTGCCGAGTATTGGTTGGAGATAGAGCCGGAGAGAAATTTTTGAGGAATGTAAATCATGAATGAAATTTCTTTTTCAACCGACAGCAATGGCTATGCGAATGGGACTCGTGTATTTAATACATCTGGGTGACTTATCTAAACTAGGCTGTAAATATGTATTATACGTTGCATTTTTAACAGCTTTATATTCCAAACTATTAACAACATTAATTATTCATCGAAATTTGAAATTTGAATGAAAATGGCCAATACTACATTCAAGCTTAAATGATGGAAAACTGGAAATATTTGAATTTGATCAAATTCATTACATTATGGAATCGATTGAATATTAAATCGACGACGCATTATGGACTTATTTCGGACACAATTATTTTAAGGTATATACCTTTTTGTTAAATCATACCAAATTAAAAAAATAAAAACAGATTCAATCACATTTTTTAAATTTAATTATATTAAACTAAAATAAGGAATACTGATTTTTAACGCATAAATTAATTCGTAACAATTGATAGATATTGAAAACTAAGACATTTCGTCTCTCAATTAAGATTTGAATTTTATTTTAACAATTGATTTTGGACATTATCAAAGTACAGTCATATGCGCAATAAAATACATGTACGTAACCATGAGTATTCTCATTCTTCATAGAATATATCGTTACTCGAAACTAATTGTAATATTCGAACTAATTACAATACAATGAGAATATTACATCAACTTTTTAGATATTAAATAATGTATTTGTTAATTTAACAAAGTCTTACAGCTAAAAGCTAAAAATATATTTTGTTGTAAAGAAAACATAAGCGTTTAAAACATATAAATATAGTGTTTAATAAAAATTCTATTTTGCTAGATATTTTTGTTACTTATATAATAAAGAATAAAAGTGCAATATAAAAAAAAAAAGGAAAACTTTAAAAATAATAGATATAATTACCTAATGAATGTTTTGATCGTTTAATAAAATTGCTTTGAAAGCAATTTGCAATTAAGTTTGCTTGTAAATGAAGTGTATCTTATAATTTTTTTTAATTTATTACCTAATTAATGATTACATGGTCGATTATCTGACCTATAAATTTTTTTAAAATTCTTTACAAACATACTTGTTGAAGTTTTACTTTATTAATTGAATATTGACTACTGTTTTTACTTCCAAGAGATTATAATGATTTAACTACATTCGAGCATATGTAACAATAATTATAAACTAAATCATATTTATTATAATTATATAAGATTCTTATGCTTTGCAAATATTGTGTTTTCAATTTTAAAATTATTTGTACATGCAAGTTTAAAGTCATACTTGCCGGATAATTTACACTTTAATTATTCCTTAAAATGAAATATATTATTAATAATTACGACGTAATGAATCGTAAATATAGTTACATTTATATTTGATAATTAAATAAGCGTTTATCGTCAGGTGAAAGAAAAAACTAATTATCCAATGTATGCATTAATGTATTTATCATAGACGTTTATATAAAAATTTATACATAAAAATATAATGTACATTAGTTCAATGTTAACATTCATTGGTATGCGATGCTAAGATCTAGAATAATACAATATGTAAAGAAAGAAATATTTACCATTATACCTATATATGATTAGAGATTAGATACAACCTCGTGTAATAAATTAATAAGCAATTCACATTCGCACATATCACCATTATCCACCCATTACGAATAAGCCACTCGTTTCATATCAAATTCTCGCATTTACACATTAAATAATCATTACAATCTTTACACCGTACTAAAAGCTAGAAAATACGTAGGCATGAAATCACTCAACAGGGATTTTTGCCATTACATCGGGAAATAAATTATTCATCCAATAAACGCATATATTATTTCATTGAGTGTTGAAGGAATTTTAAAAAATTTTCCGTGCAATTATTTTTGTCCATTGAGCTGTCGAGCAAATAATGACTTGAAAACGTCAATGGAACCTTTTTTGTTAATCGAGTCACGTTTACGATCGTCTTTTACCGTTAAAATTTTGAAAATTATCAAATGCCCTCAAAAGTTCTTATCATTCGCTTAATAAACTTATTCTTCTTTCATCTACTCTCGAGTCCATAAGGATATACTCATTAATACAGTTGGACCGCTATTTTTATAACGCTTTCAATAATTATGGGTAGGCGGCGCGAGCGATGCGACATAATTGCCAATCGCAAGCCATCGTTAGCAGAGGATCAGCTTCGTGTAAGACAACTTAAGTACAACTTATGCGAAGAGAGAAGGCCGCAAAGTGACCTTAGATCACGGGCACATTGTACACTAACTTAATCGAGTATCACGACCGCGCGTGTGTGAAAATGTTCAGGTCCGGGACAAGTTGCTCGGAATAGAACGGCAGGAGGAGAAAAAAAAAGCAGTCTTTTCATACGTTGTCGCGGGCAATTGAATTGTAGGCTCGGCAGGGAGAAAAGGAAAAAGGAAGGCGAAAAGCCGGTAGCGGCAATCCTCGATTTATCGGCCTTCGTATGAAAATGAACTCAGAGGTCGGGTCGCCTTGTAACTCGGTCACGTATGTATACGACGGCTCTTTCACCTCCTCGCTTTCTTCCTCCTACCCACGCTTCTCTATATTCGTGCGCCGTTCTCCCGTCCTCTTTTCCTCGCCGGTCTTTCGACTCGTCGCGTGCGAGTTTCACACCTCGTTTTTCTCCCCTCGCTCGAGGCAAACAATTACAATTTGTCTTCTTACACGGCGGAAAAATTGCATCTGATATTTATTTACTGCACACTCACGACTTTTCACAGTACTATTGTTTGGCCGTATTGTCCGATAAATTCGATTAAGGATATTTCTAATGGGTTTTTGGCGAACGAGTCATAAGCTTAAGTCAAATAATAAAAATAAAGTCCGGCATCGCATGCTTTATAATAGTGCGATTCTCCGTTTAGGATATTATGAAATTGGATTAATATTCAAGCATATGACATTTCACTGTATTAAAACTAAAAAATATCTATTGTCGTTCACCACGTATTACTAATTATTGTTGCATTTTTTATTAGTTGTGAAATTTGTAAAAATCATCGAATCATATGGAATATTTTTAAATGATACAAAGTGAAAATAATATGTATGTTGATAGAATACTCGTCGATTATAATTGTGTTTGTCCTTCAAGTTGTATCGTAATAATTATAAATTAAATTGATAATTGAAAAATATCAATTAGAAGTACATACGCGCGCACGCGCGCACATAGAAAAACATAGGCATGCGTGTAACTTGGATATATATAAAAATTAATTATAATTTTTTCAAAGTAAAATTTTTTCCACCAATAGCTGTGTGATAAAAATTTCCAAATCATTCGGACAATCTATCCATCCACAACTCTGATCGTAGTCGCACGCAGTTATTGTCATTTAACAATGCGAATTCGCTGAAATCGACTATATTAAGTTAAGCTAGATCGCAATCCCCTTGTATATACGAAATAAATTTACATAAACAATGTAAGTGCCGGATAATATTATATTCATGCGTGTCTTATTAACGATACGGAATATCCCGACCTCGGCACTTGAATAGAGCAAAATTAGCTAATTAATGCGACATGGGAAATGAAATTGCGGCCGTATGGGCCGAACGACCGCATTTCCGATATTCCAACCACGTTACGATAACACGAGCCTCGTGCATAATCGAGGAGCATTTGGCCCCTCTTTAATGACGCTTTCGTCTGTATCGAGAGTCCCCGCTAATAATTTGTTAAGTGCATACGTAATCTGGCTTTGAAACACGATTTTTCAACGTACGCTCGATTTTCCGGACG